GCAGAGTTAGAGGTCAGATGGGTTGAAGGCCAAATACATTAAGTGCACAGAACCAGGAAGTGGAACGGCTCTAGGTAATGCATACACGAGATAAATGGGTATCATGAGGCCAGAAACAAATAAGATGACCATTAATAGGGAGTGGATAAATATATGTGGTATGGTCACATGATGGAAAACTTCAAAGATGTTAAAAGGAACAAAATGGATTTATACACATCACTGTGGCTATATCTTAACATTAACATTATCTAAAAAAAAGCAGGGCACAGAATTATACCTAAAATGTAATTGATGCACATTAAAGCATGCACATAAAACAGTGTTTTTGGATTCGTATGTGTAGGTAGAAGTAAGCAAATTGTCAGGAGGAAGGAAGTCTCCACATAGCACATGTGGGTGGTTGTCTCAGGGTGATAGTTGTCACAGTTTATTTGTTTTCCTGTAAAGAATCCAGTACGTAGGAATACTTGATTACCAGCTTCTACTAGCTAAGAAATTCTGATTTTCAGATAATGCTTTTGCAGTTGCTGAGAAAGTAAAGTTGTAGGACTAGAAAGTCATTATGATTCTCAAGCACTGTCTTTTGTAAGACTATCTTTGAAGCCCTTGATGCTCATTTCCATTGGTGATTATTCTCTAAAGAATTCTTCTTAAGTTAGAAAGGCATCGAAATCCCCATTTCAATGGTGGAGAAAGCTAGAAAGCCAGAGAAGTCATAGATTGTGGAACAGATAAGCTCTGGGGCCCCAGTACACCAGAGTTTGGGGCTTAGTGGGTAATTTACTGCTCTTCCTGCTCGATGTTTATGTTCATTTTGGCAGCTCTTTCTTATTTTCTGAGATGTTGAAGGTCACGGTTTTCTCTTTGGCATTGACTGGGTCGTTTCTAGCAGTGGCTTGTGTTTAGAATAGAGAAGCAGCTGAAATGAGTGAATGGAAAAAGAATATTTGTGGTTTTCATTCAAAGCAGAAAAAGTGATGATATCAACTTTTTTACCCCCTAATGAAGGCACTGGGTTGATCTATTACGGCAGATTATAAGAGGTAAGTGTTCCACCATCAGCAAATATTTGACCATTGTCTGTGTGAGCAAGTAGCAATGGACTAAATCACATTGATATTGACTCTCCTGCTTCTTGTTGCATGGCTCTGCCAGGGTAACCAATAAGAAGTCAAGTTCTTACAGCTCTTAAAGTGTGGAACTAAAATCTGAGATTATATGGGCTTTGCTAAATTCTGGCAATGCGAACATAATTCCAGATAAAGTACTTTCCATCCTGCCACTCTCTTGGGGGTGAAAGTTTTACTGTTATGTGTAAGTCACAGATATGCAGGCAGATGCAAACAGATGTACAATATATCTGTGGCATAAAAAATTCATGGAGGGGCGATTAAGGAAAAAATCAAAAAAGAATCCTAAGGGAGAAAGTAATAATAATAAAAAAAAAGGTTATGAAACGCTGATATAGGCTGAAGTAATTTTACCATTATCATATAAATTTGTATTTTGCTCTTACCCTTAACATTTTTGGATAAAATTTCAACACATTGCCATATGGTCTTCATATTTGATCACTTTTATGGACTTTATAGTCTGTCATTAATCCATCATCTTGCATAAATCCTCCCCCCCCACTTTTGGTTCCTATGATAAGTAATGATGTGTTGAACATTTTTGTTCAAGGTGATTTTCGTTTCTTTAGATTTTGTCATTAACATGAAAGTGGTGATGGTTCTTGATCACTCTTTCTTTCATAGTGGCTGTAGTAGTGCTTCCAGGAAGAGTGAGGGCTCCAGCAGCATCCAGGCCTGGCCAGAGATTCAGGGGTTGACATCCAGCAGACATTTATTGGATGACACTTTGGTGCATCTTCTACCACTTAGCAAAGGGCTGTACTTTTGGTATAGGGCTATACTGTTGAAGACAATTGAACGAACCTTCTACGAAAGGTTTTGTTGGAGTGATGGGTATGTTAGACAGGTAGCATGTGGCAGAAGCTGATTGGAATGTAGAGTGCCTTGTAATGGAAAAGTCTAGGGACAGGGCTGGCTTCAGGCTTGGCTGGATTCAGGTGCTTAGAGAGTCATCAGGACTACCTTTCTGTCCATCTTGCAACTCTACTTTCCTCTCAGTTGGCTTCATCCTCAGGCACCCTTTCCTCCATGGAGGCAAGATGGCTACCAGGAGCTCTTGGGTGACATCCTACAATGTAGCAACACCTGAGTAAAGAGCAGGCCTCTTTTTCATTCGCTCTGACAAAAGTCCTCGGGCTGACCCACAGCAGCCTGGTTGCCATGTGGTCATCCTGGAACCCACGACTGTGGCTCTGCTTGGCTAAGTCTAGATCTTATGCCCAGTCCAGGGCCCAAGTGTGGCATCTGGCCCACTTGTTGTCTGGATAGAGGATGAAGTGAAAGGGGAGGGCTGTCGTAATTTCGAATAGGGTAATCGGGGAGGACCTCACAGGGAAGGTGATGTCTGAGCAGAGACCTGAGGGAGGGAAGAGCGACTCCTGGGTTTTGTTCCTGAATGAAGGGGTAAGAACTGCCATTTACTGAGGAAAGGCTGTGGGAGGAGCAGGTTTGGGTATGGCGTATAGCAGTCTGAATCCTTCCCCTGGCTATGAGTTCTGCTAGTGCCCCCGGGAGCTGCCCAGAGGCCTGGCTTAGTACTGGCTCATCTGCTCAGTAGCACCCTTCTGGGCCTGTGCTCCTGGCTACAGCTGTGAATGGAACCATCTCATTTTTCCTGGCCTGCATCTGCATGTCTTGGAATCCGCTCTTTCCTTCCCTATCTTAAAAACAAAAACAAAAACCCAAAATGACATTAAAGGCTACTGTGAAAATATAGACTATACATATAAATATACCTCTCTTGCACATTGAATATTTAGATTTTTAGGTATTCCACTTCTGTCTTTGTTCAAAGCATATTCAGTTTACATAATTGCATTGAGTTTACATTTGAATTCGAGTTTCCATTTGTATTATAGCATTTATCCATGTTCTTTCTCTTCACGATTATTAGAAAAGGCTGTATAACATTCTGTGAAATTGAAGGTACCACAGTTACTTAACCTTTTTCCCATTGTAGGAAAAGCAAGCAAATTCCATTTATGATATTCTAGGATGGAATTGGCAAACATTTTCTGTGAATGGCCAGATAGTAAATATTTTCTGCTTTGCAGGCCATCTGGTCTCTGTCCCAACTACTCATTCCTATCGTTGTGGGATAAAAGCAGCACAGGCATTGAATAAATGAAAGGATGTGGCCGTGTTCCAATAAAACTTTATTTAGAACAAAGGGCAGCGGGATTAGGTTTGAGGCTACAGTTTGCTGACCCCTGTTCAGAACACTACAGGAAAAATTCTTGTGCCTGTGATGCTATATTTAGGCTGTCACGTTATAGTGGAAAAGGACCTGGACTCAGGCAACCCTAGGTCTGACTCCCTATGGTAGAACTTGGGCACATTATAGAACTTCTCTGATTCTTAATTCCTTCATCAGAAAATGAATATGAAAGTGAGTGATGAATGTACAGTGCCTTAGTACCTAGAAGATAGACTGCTGAAATCCTTGCTTGTTTTTTTTTTTTTTTTTTCTCATTCCTCCCAGTCCTCCTCCTTAGCTTAATTTTTAAGGTGTCAGGAAGGTGTTTTGATACTTTTTGTAGCTTTTGGCACACCCTGCCACATTGCTTTTCAAGAACTTACTGCACCAATACATTGTTACTGGTGGTATGCATCTGTTTCCCCATAGCTTTGACAGCACTGGGAATTTCATTTTAAATGTTTCTTGGTGAAGCTAGTAGCTACATAATGGTAACACGTGGTAGTTAGTTTAGTAAGTATATACTTTGCATTTCTCCAGCCATGGGAGGAAGATACAGTTTCTCTTTAAAGTGTTTGCAGGCTGACATTTTAGTGTGTGTGTGTGTGTGTGTGTGTGTGTGTGTGTGTTTTAAATAACAGAGACTGGCAAACTGGGCCAGCTACCTGTTTTGTAAATAAAGCTTTATTGGAACACAGCCACACCCATTCTTTTACTGTTGTCTGTGGCTGCTTCCACACTATGATGGCAGAATTGAATAGCTGTGCCAGAGACCTTATAGCTTGGGAAGCCTAGAATATTTACCATTCGCTCTTTACAGATTATGTTTGTCGACCCCTGCTCTAGAGTAAATTCTTCGCCATTTATCAATCTGCCGTTCACTCAGTCTGATCTTGGGCATCGCATGGATGGCCTGAGCCCATCTGTCTAAAAGCAGAGTCTGCCTCTTTTCATTGTGCAGTGGCAGACAGTCTGTCCTTTTGTCCTGGCCCAGCTGTGCCACTTTACCCCACAATAGTGGGAACCAGCGCCCTAACTTGGGGGATGAATGAACGTACATTTTATCTGTTATGTGCTAGTGCTTGAGCACACGAAGCTACTGTGTCACTTGGCTCATGACACGTACGAGGCTGCTGCTGTGGCCTGCCCTGTCTGATCTTTTCCATTTAAAGCGACCACTTGGGGAAGTGTGGAACTCCCCTTGGAGTTTGATTCAACAATTGTTGAGTTCTTCCTGTGAGCAGGGGTGGTTAGGGCTGTTTCCATCCCCAAGAAGGCTCACCAGCCAGGGTTGGCATAAGGAACAGGCTTATTATTCCCCATTACCCTTTTCTGCTTTGGAGATTAGACCAGAGGTGTGGCATGGCTGGAGGCCCGCAGCAGCACAGTTCAGAGAGCAGTTTGTTGTGCCCATGGAGGACTCTCGGTGGAAGGTTTCTCAGAGAAGGTGACATTTGAGCCAGCTATCAAGAGGTTGTTTTTTCTTTGATGGCCTATTTGCAGAGGGAGCCCTTTTTCTGTCTGAAGTTGAGCTGCCCAAGAGGCTACCTGGTCTTGTGGATTTTGAAAGGTGTGGGCTTTGGGGTAAATGTTGGGTCTGTCACCTCTGAGCTGTTCCTTGGGCAAGTGATTAATGTCTTCAAGGCTCAGTTCCTTTATCTGTCACGATGGGTCTGCCAGCACCCACCTTTCTGGTGGATGTAAACGATTAGTGTATATCTCAGAACAGAAAATTGATAGCAAATCTGGCCCCAGGTGTGTTGTGTTGGTTCATGAAGAGTTGGCTGAAAAGCTGTCTAAAGGGAGTATAATTAGGCGTCAACTGATTGACATGAAAATCTGAAAATCCAGCTTCTCTTAAAAAACGAGGAGACGGACCAGTGCTGTACTGGTGTTGCTGTGAGGTGCTGCCAGCTGGAGCTGAGTAGCAGCTGCCATCTCGGAAGGGCATCTGCCTGGGTCCCCGCAGTTCCTACCTCCTCCTCTGTTCTCCCTTCCCTGCCCCATCACTCATTTCCATTCTCCGCCTGGCGTCGTAGGGTTGGAGGCGTCCGACCTTGGCCTCGTACATGCCTTGGGCCAATAGTGGACAGCCTTTTCTGCTCGCCCCCTCACTTCTGCTTTCTTTGTACCCCTGTATTTGAAATGATGGCGGATTTTGGGGATGGCGGAAATGAAACAACAAAAACAACAGCTCTAAACTCTCCACTGGGTCGAAAGCGCCAAGCGTCCCAGACGCCTGCCAATGTGACTTGAGTGCAAATGCCACCAGTGGCAAAAGGTGATGATGTACCTGGCCCCCGCAAGGCTCTGATGTGAGGTACTGGTTCTAGGGTGAGGGAGAATGGGAACATGATTAAGATGTGGCCTGGTCTACAGTCTGATGGGGGTACCTAATATGTAACTGTGTTACTTCAGGGTGGCTCTGCCGTCTGGGAAGGTAGACACTATTCTTTTAATGTTTAAACACCCCCACTGATTAATTCCGCTAGAGCAATGGTCTGCAAACTGGCCTGTGGGGTAGATCTAACCCAAGGCCTGTTTTTGTAAACGGCAATGCTCATTCATTAATGTATTATCTATGGCTGCTTTCGAGATGCAAGAGCAGAGTTGAGTAGTCGTGACGGCAACCATAAGACCTGCAAAACCTAAAATATGCGCTCTCTGGCTCTTTACAGAAAGAGTTTGCTGACCATTGTTCTAGGGTACGTTAAAGGTACAGTTTTATTCAGTGAAAACCAGAAACACAAATCATCTGAGACGACATACCACATTGCTTATGCAAGGCTTGACGGAAATGCCATATTAATTTTAGTTTTGCAGGGTGCGTTGAAAGAATCACATAATGTCATTGAATGTATTGTGTGTTTCTTCTCTAATATCGGTAAGTCTCTCTTGTGTATTCATCAGTGCCTCCAGATGTTATGGCCACTGTGTAGATAATTCAGTGCAAGGTGAAGGAGCTGGGAAAACAAGGGCCTGGAATAGTGGCAGGGGTGGCTCTAGGGGGAAGAGCTGTGCTGGACAGGGCAGCAGAGAAATGGGGTTGCAGCTGGCAGGGCATGTGGGAGCAAGGCATGGTTTTCATAAAATTTGGGGCAGATATTACACCATCCTGGTATGCTATAGGAATTGCGTAGATGAGCAAAAAAAAAAAAAAGTTGACAGTGTGAGAGGAAGAGGGACAGTTGCTGGAGCATGTCCTTGAGCAGGTGGGAGATTAGATTCAGAGTACAGCAGAGGTTTAAGTTATTTAGTGTCTTGGAGCCTCAGTCTCATCATCTGTGAAGTGGGGATAACCAGACCTATTTTAGGGCAAAATTTCCTAACTGCGGCATCTTGACATTTTGGCTAGATAAGTCTCTGTTGTGGGGGTCGTTTTGTGCTTCATAGGATGTTTAGCAGCATCCCTGGTCTCCACCCACTAGATGCCAGAAGCATGCTCCTAGTTGTGCCAGAAATGTCTCCAGGTCTTGTTGAATGTCCCTTGCAGGAGTGAAATCAACCCAGCTGAGAATCGCTTATCTATACCCACTCTTCTGTAGAGCCTCTTATAAGTAAATCTTGAACTCTCCGTATGTGAGTGTGCCTGTTGTTTCCTGGTAAGGACCTCCTTGTAGCAGACAGACTCTCCCCTGGTGTGATCAGAAATACGAAAGAGCAGTGAGCACGGAGTGGCTTTTCTGCTGCATGATGCAATGTGGGGGCTGGGTGCTAGCTGGAGCTGTCCCGTCTCGCCCTTAGGGCAGTCTTCCTGTAGCTCCCCTAAGTGTGGGATGTGCTCTGGGCAATATCTACCTATTGCAGCCCTTCCATAAAAATTATTTTCTTATTGAGGTAAAATTCACGTAGCATAAAGCTATTTATAGTTTTAATATAATTAAAACAATTCATAATTGTTAAATTATAAATGAACAATTATAAAGATAATTAACCACATTAAAGTGAAAAAATTCAGTGGCATTTAGTACATTCACAGTGTCATGACCCAGCACCTCTATCTAGCTTCAAAACATTGTCATGAGACCCTGTACCCACTAAGCAGTTGTGTTCTGTCTGTGTGGATTTACCTATTCTGATTCTTCCCAGTTTTTAAAGCATAGCTCAAGCTTCTGCTTTCTTAGTAAGCCTCCCCTGGCCGCCCGCAAAAGAATGACAGTGTGGCATGTGGAAGGAGCATTGGCCTAACAGTCAGGCAGACCAGGGGCTCAGCCTCTGATGCCACACTTGCTTTGCAGTGTGACCTTGGGCAGAATTCCTGGCATGCAATGGGCCCACCAAAAACATTGCCTTCTTTTTCTTTTCTCTCTTATACCTGCTTAGTGCGTTGCCAGGATTAGCCTTAGACCCCAGAAGTGCCTGGCGTGACTTTACCTCTGCCACTGTGTGGAGGGGCAGGGAACTCCTACGAAGTGTGTGTGTGCAGCCTTGATCAAGTGACCTAAGTCCTCTGTGGATGAGAACCACATATACCTCGACCTCCAGGGTGGTTGCAAGGATTAGAGAAGGACCATGCCTAGAGTGCCTGGTGCATTGTTTTCCCCTTCCAGGGCAGCGAATGCAGAGGCTTGGATTGAATTGCTTTGCCTGCACTTTGGAGAGATGGTAGCCAGTTGAAAGTAATTCTTAGCGCCAGCGGTCTTACTCCACCACCACCAATCATGATAGTTAACATGTATAAAGTGCTTGGTGCATACTTGGCACCGTTGTAGGTGCACGATAAATATTCACTTATTTAACAGACGTGGGAGGTGTGGAGAGGTTAAGTAACTTGCCCATGGTCACATAGCTGGTGATATAGTTTTCAAACCTGGGTTATCCCATTCTTAATCTTTGCTCCGTCACCCCGGGAGGTCGCTGAAGGCTGTAGGTTTGTTGGAAAAATCAATGTAAGATCCTAAGGATTCTAAACATTCAAGATGGCAGAGATGCACCTGAACCAGGTGAGTGACTTTCAAACATGCATTTGATTTCTGCTTTAGAGCCCTGTAGCAGCGCTGGGTCCCCAACCTTTGCACCAGGGATGGTGCTCCTGTGATCATCCAATGCCTGATGGTCTGAGGCGGAGCTGAGGTGGTGATGCTGGCGCTGGGGAGCGGCTGCAGATACAGATGGAGCTGTGCTTGCCCACCGCTCACCTCCTGCTGTGCAGCCTGGTTCCTAGCAGGCATTGACTGGTACTGGCCTGCGGCCCAGGTGTTGGGGAACCCTGCCTTAGGGGATCACTGCCTTTCCCTGACAGGTTCGTAGACCCCTAGGGGTATTTCTTGGGGTGCCTTTATATATTCTATTTTCATTTTGATGGTGTTCTCAGAATAAATTACAAAGAATCTTGTTCTGGCTCATTTGGTTGGTAGTGTCGCCTGAGGGCTGCCTGGGAGAAGGCGGGACCCAGGAAGGCTGGAGTTTCACAGAGGAATCGTCCCCAAACTGGCAGTGGGGCTGTAACTGCAGGTTTGTTCCAGAGGTTGAGAGCGAGCGAGATTTAGAGATGGCTTAGCCAGGAGCCCGTGGGTTTGAAACTGAATTCTTCTTCCAGCACTTTCCGTGGGACAGGCCTTGGGTGAAGGTCTTTTCCTCTCTGAGTCTCAGTGCTCTGGTGAATGGAACCACGCTTTCTTTGTCACAGATGAACTGTCGGTCACTCAGTGGCTTAGCCTACAGCTGAGGCTCAGCAGGTGGGCACAGGTTTGAGACTGGAGGATTCTTCTTGCTCTGGAAGGGGCGCTGTGTTCTCTTTGTCACTACGAGAAGGGTGGCACTGATTGCTCTGCCTGCCTGTCTCCGCCGAGGCCCCATGTTGGTGACTGCAGAGCTAGGAGGGCATGAGCTCATGCAGAAACTGGTGCCCAGGGAAGGGAAATGACTGCCCCTGTCACATGGCCAACAACCAGCCTGGCGGGAGTGAGGACTCATGATGCCTTGTGACTCCGCTGGTGCTCCTTCCACTGCTCCTCCTGGCCATGGGTCCCCCGGTCACCTCCTGCGATCGCTGAGTGCTTCCAGGGCTGTCTGTGCCCCTTCACCCTACGAGGCCCCTTCTCTTAATCCCCAGACAGGGCTAGGATGACCACAGGTACCCCTCCTGACGTCAGGTCTGTCTCACCAGCCAGGAGGGGGAGTGGTGGGCTGATACCCGGCACATTTCAGGTTGTTTCTCTTCAGAGAACAGGCTTTTCTTCCCACCACAAAGAGAAGCATTGCAAGGCAAGGCAGTGGAGGCTACTGATGTCTCATCTAGAAGAAGCAGCAGTGACAAGATGCTATAGAGGAGACCTTGGGTCATTGTGCATACCATTAAGTGTAGATGCTACACCTGTGCCATTCAGATGTGGGTCAGGAAACAGCAGCATCAGCATCACCTGGGAGTTTGTGAGAAATGCAGAATCTCAGGTCCCATCCCAGACCTGCTGCATCAGAACCTGCCTTTTAACAAGGCCCCAGGGGATTCCTATGTACACGAAAGCTTGAGAATTACTGCCCTAAAAATGGTCAGTACTAAGATCGCAGAGATTTTCATTTTTGCTTTGTACATTTTACCTGGTTTGTTACTATATTTTTTTCACATGAATTTTTTTTTTATTGTGGTAAAATACACATAACATAAAATTTACCATCTTAACCATTTTTAAGTATACAGCTCAGTGATGTTAAACATATTAACATGGTTGTGCAGCCGTCTCCACCATCAATCCCCATACCTCTTTTCCTCTTGGAAAACAAACTCTATGCATATGAAACAATTACTCCCCATTCCTTCCTCCTTCTAGCTCTTGGCAACTGCTATTATACTTTCTGTCTCTATGAATTTAACTGCTCTAAGTACTTCATATAAGTGAGATCATACAGTATTGCCCTATCTTTTTGTGACTGCTCTATTTCACTTTGCATAATGTCCTCAAGTTTCATCTGTGTCGGAGCATATTGCAGAGTTTCTTTCCTTTTTGAGGCTGGGTAATATTCCATTGTTTTGCTTGTCCATTCACTTGTCGAAGGACACTTGGTTGCTTCCACATTTTTGCTCTTGTGAATGATGCTACTACGAACAGGGGTGTGCAAATATCTCTTCAAGACCCTGCTTTCAATTCTCTTGGGCATATACCCAGAAGGGGAATGGGGTCAATGTGTTCTGTCTATATGGATTTACCTATTCTGGTTCTTCCCAGTTTTTAAAGCACAGCTCAAGTTTCTGCTTTTTTAGTAAGCCTCCTCTACTTCCCCTCCCCCCACCCCCACCCCCAAAACAGAATGACAATGTGGCATATGGAAGGGCTTTTCATGCTGGGTCATTATGGTAATTCTGTTACATGAATTACATTTATGATCAGAAAAACTGCAAAGGCACGTGAGGGGGGAAAACCTCGTCAAGTTTCCAGTTGGCATTGCCCAAGGACAAGTAGAGTCAGTGGGTACAGTACTTGGAAAAAGGAGAAAAGAAAGCCTGACTTCTCTGTTCCAAGGTCGGTGAGAGAAGAACAGAAACTAAATGTTCTGCTAGACCAGGTGTCAAGAAAGATGTCTGAGGGCCTTGGGCGGGTGGAGTCTCCGTCGTGAGTGACACTTCAAGATGGCCTCTTGTCTGGTGGGAACTATGTGTAGGCTATACTTTCTCAAAATCTCTTCCAGAAAGAATAGCCATGGCAGCGTTTGGGAAGTCAGTCGTATTGCTGTGTGTCCGCAGAGTGTTGACCGGACCAGTCTCCGGGCCTGGAGCGAGGCAAGCGTCCTGCGTGGTAGTCCTAAGTCGGGCCTCTGAGTTGGGGCCAGAGTTCCGTCAACTGGTATTCACGATAGAGCAAAACCTAGACTCCTGTTATCGTGTCCTCGAGGCTCTTGCAGCTGGCTCCTGCCTGCCTATCTGATCTTTACTTCCCCTTTTTTTGCTTCTTGATGAAGTCTCAGCAGACTTCCTTCTGATCTTGGAAGATCAGATGCCAAGCGTGTTCCTGCCTTCTGGGCTCCGCCCTGGCTGTGCTCTGCGTGGATTGCGGGTCTCTCATATCTTCCATGGCTGCTCTTTTTTGTAAAGGGCTCAGCTCAGTGTCACCTGTGCGGAGGGGTCTTCCCGACCGTCCTGGCTTATGTGGCCCTCTTGCTTCCTCCCTGTCTCATCAGCCTATCTGGTTTCTCCTCCTAGTATGACTCTCTAACATCATCTGATTTATTAGTTTCCTTAGCTAACTATTTGTTTCTTCCTAATAGAATTTTCTCTCCATGAGAAGATGGCCTTTTTTTTTTTTTTTTTTTTTTAACCACTTAATTCCTATGTCCCCAGCTCTTAGGACATTGCCTGGCATGTAGTAGAAGTTAAATAAATAGTGAGCGAGTCAATACACACAGTTTATTGTCCTCTCTGAGCTTCAGTTTCCCCACCTGCAGTATGGGGATTCTAATACCTGGCTTGTGGGGTGGTTGTGAGAATTATAGGACATAACTCATGCAGAGTACTCCAGCATCCAGGAAGTGTTCAATGCAAGGTCTCAGTTGTCATCGCCCAGGGGGCCCTGGCATGACTTGGATGAATCGCTGACCATCTCTGTGGCGATGCCCCGCTGCTACTCCCCGGTGAAGCCCATGTTGAGTTGCCCAAGAGAGAAACAGCTTGGTGGCAGTTCAGGGCCTGCTATGTGGGACGTTTGCTCTCGTAGCTCAGGATTTGAGTCTCTTTTGAAATGATTGTGTTGTGTGTCTGGTGGATTGTAACACGTAGCCATGTCTCTGCTGCTTGGAGTCAGGGGGCCTCTTGTGGAGCATCATGTGTAGCTCTGGCGGTGGTCTGCCTGGTGCTTTGAAGTGTCCTTGCCCCAGACCCTCTCAAGTGGAAGTTCGGCGTGTGCCACGTGTGTCAGTTGGGAATGCTATTGGCTGCAAGTAGCAGCCCAGAGGACAGGGATTTGAACAAACGGGGTTATTTGTTGTGTTAGAGGTAGGACGTTTCCAGTACTGGTTCAGCGGCATAATGACGTCAAGGCTGGTGTCTTTGTGCGTCTTTTGGCCTTCCCTCCGGGCTTGTCACCTCATGGTAGCAAGATACTGCTTAGCTCCACCCAGTGTATTTCTGATTAAGGCATGAAGGATGGAAGAAGGAATGAAGCCATTGACATCTGTTTTTTTTTTTTTTAAATCAGAATGACATAATTTTCCCAGAACACTCCCAGTGTACTTCTGCTTACATCTCATTAGCTAGAACCTCTTAAGATCAGCCTTATAAGAGAGGCTTAGAAGAGGCGTAATTAGGTTTTTTGGCTTCTATTGAGAAAGGTAACTGTGGGAAAAAGACATTGGTGATGATGGTGAGGTCAGCCAATGAGCAGTGCCTGCTATACTAGGAAACCTATATTTTAAGTAGACTGTTGGTTCTCAGTTGGGGGCAGTGTTATCCCCTAGTGAACATTTGGCAGCATCTGGAGACATCTTTGTTGCCACAGCTGGGGTGTGTGTGTGTGTGTGTGTGTGTGTGTGTGTGTGTGTGTGGGCGCACGCGTGCATGTGCATACACGTGCATGCGCGTGCTATGGTATCTAGTGCATAGAGGCCAGAGATGCTGCTATACATGCTGGCATTCACGGGCAGCCCTATCGCGGAGAATTATCTGCACCAAATGGCAATAGCGCCAAGGTTGAGAAAACCTGAGTTACACTACTCTGGACACATTCTTCAAATCTGGGGACCGTAGTTTAGCTGCTTTCCTGTGATGTAGTAACAGGGAAATGGGAAAACTTCAGTGTAATAATGTAGATTATTGGTGTCTGGTTTTGTTATTGATGTCATTAAAGAGAAGGCTGATGCTAGTTGGGGACAGCCATATACTATATGTCAGAAAGTCTTAACAAAAGGCTAATGTCAAACAGAACTAATTAAGCCTCGTTGCATTTTAGGATCACAGAACAATGACATGAAAAGACAATTTCTATTGGAGCGACTGCTGGATGCAGTGAAACAGGTAAGAGAAAAGCTCACATTTGACCTTCAAATCAAGTAATAGTGTCAGATAATTAATGTGGAGGTCATTTTTGCCCTTCTGTATAGCAGAATGATTCCCGCTTTGTATCTGGGAACAGTGAGGGCAGTAGTTTTCTCCAGGAAATGATAGAGCAGAGAAGGCAAGCAGAGGGAATGACAGAGGTGCTCCTGCCTTGTGACTTTCTAAAGCCCTATGGGGGACCATCTCAGTGACGTCCCTTTGAGAACAGCATTGATGTGGGTTTCAGGGTCTCATTTCCAAGTAGCTGTGTTTTAGGGCAACTCGTGCGGGTGCTGAGGTGGTGGTTGGAGTTAGGATCCTGTGAACAGAGATAAGGAGGAATGGGTGCCCAGGGTGGCATGGATCCTCCAGAGCTCTGTGCCGATTGATCGATGCTGTTTTTGATCCCTGGCTTTTGGCTGGGCAAGAAGTGAGCTTCGGCATGAGCTGGCATCAGTTCACTTGCCTACATGTACCAGACATGCATCATTTATTGCACGCTCATCATGTGCTGGGCTCTCTGCTTAGTGCTTTGCATTTCATCTTTCTAACAACCCTGTGAGATAGTTCTTATAATTATTTAAATTTTAAAACTAAAGAAACGGAAACTCAGAAAGGTTCAATAACTTGCTAACGGTGTCATAGTTAATAAGTAGCAGAGCTAGGGTCCCACCCTGGGAATTCTAGGTAGCTCACATTTTGGAACGGGCTACTGACAATTATATGCGTGCAATCACAATATAGGGAGATAAATACTTTAATAGAGATGTGTGTTGTGTTGATGTGAGCCCGAGAATTTAGCATCTGCCTAAGCCTTGGAGCATCCCAGTGTGGTGGAAAGGACACAGGCCCAGGAATAGCCGGGGTTGAATGCCAGCTTCATCTCTTCATATCTTTGTGTGCTGGGACAACTCACCCAGCCTCTCTAGGCATCCCTCTGCTCTGTAATCAGGGCTGTTGAGGGAATCGTGTTTGTTTAAGTAGATAAAGGCCTGGTCAGCGCCTGGTCCACTGTAAATTCGGAGCCCACCTTATTCGTTTCTTCTTTCTTTGCCCCAGAAAACAGAAAATATGACAAGAGGATAAAGCTAGTGGAACCATTTTAAATATAGCAATTAAATAGAAATAAATTGGAGCTTATGTGCGGAGCTGCTATTATTATTAGTATTATTATTTTTGGAGGGTGAAAGTGTTTCATATATGCTTTTTAAAAATCAACTTTATTGAGGTATAATCTTCATGCAATAAAATACACTAATTTTAAGTGTGCAGTTCTATGATTTTTTACATATGTATCGTTTAAAATTTTATAAATGCGTGTGTATATACGTATATATTTTTTCTCTTTTGGATAAGTTCAGGAATCTTGCAAGCCTGCCACCCACATCAGAGATTCTACACCTTTAAAAGAGAGTAGTGGATAGTGGTAATGGTTGCACAATATTGTGAATCGAATTGTATAACTAAAAATGGTTAAACTGGCAAATTCTGTTGTCTATATTTTACCACAATAAAAAAAAAAGAATAGTTTGCTTTCATTTGTACCCACCATGGGTAAATTGTCGCTCAGCACAACCAAATGACTTATTCGAAGTGAGATTTAGCCAGTCACGACAACTTTGGGGCCCTGTCAAAAGGGGCTCATCATTGCAGATCTGTGGAAGTTTTCATTATTGCCTGTTAAGAGCTCTGTGTTATAGACAGTCAGCTGCTGACACATGGAAGAAGCTTCCCAGATAACATGGGGAAGGCTGTGTGTGTTTGTTTCCCTCTTGGCATTGTTTCCCAAGCTCACTTCTGTACAAGCGGGAGATGAGGGCTTCCTTTAAGTGGTGGCAGGAAGGTGGGGCATCTATTGTCTTAGGTCTTGGACTGACACCCAGGGCAGGGGGAGGCCCTGACTGGGCACCTGGAGTTTCTGGTCCTTTAACCCTTGAGACTCCAAGACCTGTATGGCCTGTTTTGTGATGTTTGAATGTCCCATCCCAACAGCTGATGTCAGCAATTTCTTTTTCCATGCAGTGCCAGATCCGCTTTGGAGGGAGGAAGGAGATTGCCTCGGATTCCGACAGCAGGTAAATATGTCGTTTCTAAAACCATTTACCATCAAGAGCAAAAAGGTGGCAAGAGAGGACCAGCTTCTATATTCTACTTCTGCAGCCAGGTGGTGCAGTGAATAAATGTGGTGATATCTCGACGCCTGTGCAGTGACTACTCTAAAGTATTTCCACCTTCCCTTAATTCTCCTTGTTGGAGTCCATTCTGAGGGAATTACTTGAAATACCTTTCTGCATGAAGTTATTTTTAGGGTAATTTTTAGTGATGAAAACTCAGAAATCTAAATGCTCAACAATTGGGAAATGGTTAATAAAGTGTAATGCATCATGGGATGAAATGTTATATAGCCATTAAATTGATGTCTATATAGAATTTACTTTAAGTAGAAAATACATATGTAGAATTTAAAAATTAAATTAGTAAAAATAATAAGAACAGGATACAAACTTGTATGGATGCAGAGTGATCCCGTGTTAAACAACTCTGGCTAAAAATGGACCAAAATGTGAACAAAGATAAGAATATCGGAAATATCGGAAATCTTTATCTTTTCTGATAATTTTTAAAAAGGTCCAAAAAAAGTTGCCATTGACCTTCATGACCCAGGAAAGGCCGACATAATTGCAAAAGCTTGTAACATCAGGAGACACAGAGGTTCTTGGCAAAGGTACGGGACACACAGGCATTCGATGGCAGTGTTCTGTGAAGTTGTTCGGAGCTGATTGATGCTCTGAAGGCCTGGAGTGCCAGGAGGCTCGTTCCTGCAAAGGAAGGGAAGGGAAGTCACTTGCTCAGCACTCATCTCACCCTGGAGACTGTCCACATCCTTCACCCTCTTACGCCAACCCCCGCAGAGCCACTTCCCTTCTCCGCCCTTTCACACCCTTATTCTTCTGTGACACTTTACCAGCCATGAGCAAAGCATGCAGCGCTACATTTTAATGGAGGTGTGGGGACTATCGGAAACTGGGTGCAGACTTAAAATGGTACCCACAGCCCTATACTCTCTGTCTTGTCTTTGTTTAGTTTTTCTCCATAACACTTATCACCAACTAATGGACTATAAGTTAAGCTTTTTTATTTTTTATTTTATTTTATTTTGCCTCCCACACTATTACGTCAGCTCTGTGTGGGCAGGGATGTTATGCTGTCTTGTTCACTGATGTATTCCCAGTGCCCAGAAGCATCTAGAAGGTGCCCAGTCAAGATTCATTGTCTGGTTGAGTGCGTGCCTTGCATTGTACCATAGTCAAGTACTTAAATATCTGTGCCACCGTGAAGCTTGTGAGCTTCGAGGGCAGAAGACAGCTTCTCCATTCTTTGCTTCTCAGTGTTTTGCACAAACATTTTGTGCCTGTCACACGTTAGGTTCTTAGTATGTGTTTGTGGCATTAGGTCATTAGATTGATTTATTGCTTCAGTTCGTCCAGGGGCCTGTGGATGCGCCCTGGGCAGGCCGGTGTGGGAGTGCGTGGGCTGTCAAGGCCTGCCCTTGAATCCTGGCTCTTCTTCTTTCCAGCTGTGTGACCTGCCTAACCTCTCAGAGCCCAAGAATTACATCTATTTTGATACTGTGCTTTAAATAAAAAATATATGTTTGTTCTTTGTCCCTTTTTCTGATACTGAGTTCCTAAAACCTGTGGAATTTCCAAAGTGATGATAGCCATAAAGGTGCCTTTTGTTGTGTCTTTGTAGTGACTTTCTTGAAATCACCAAAGGTTGGGGGTGGGTTGCTGGGAGAACCAACCACATGATTAGGGGGTTGGAGCTTTTAGCCCCAACCCCCACCTCAGGGGAGAGGGGAGAAGCTCAAAATTGAGTTCAATCATCAATGGCCAATGATTTAATCAACAACACATAGGTGATGAAGTCTCCATAGCAACCCAAAAGAACTGGGTTCAGAGAGCTTCCAGTTGGTAAGCACTTGGAGGTGCCAGGAGACTGGCCTGCTTGCAGAGGGCGTGGAACCCTCTTCCCACATACCTTGCCCTAAGGATCACTTACATCTATTACTTCCTTTTATAGAAACCCAGTAATCCAGTAGGTAAAATGTTTTTTTGCGTTCTATGAGCCAATCTAGCAAATTAATCAAACCTGTGGAGGAGGTCATGGGAAGCTCCAAGATATATATCTGGTCAGTTCGAAATACAGGTGACAACCTGGACTTGTGACTGTCCCCTGAAGTCAGAGTCAAGTGTAGTCTTGCAGGACTAGACCTTAACCTGTGTAACCTGATGCTGTCTCCAGGTAGATAGTGTCAGAATTGAGTTGAATTCTCCAATCTAGCTGGTGTTGGAGAATTGCTTGGTGACGAGGGGAAAACCCAGGGGAAAACCCACACATAGGTGTCTACTTAGCCACTTGTGAGGATTGAGTCGTCTACTATGTGTGAAAGTGCCAAACACGTAGGAGTTTTAGTTTCATTCCATCCGAGGAGGTCCTCGCCCCTCAGGGAGTGAAGTCTGGCTGGGACACTTGTTACTCAGCTCCTGACACCTACCCATTCTGCCTGCTGATGCACGTAGACCACAAATAGAGTAGAAGGGCAAAGGTGAACTCATGAGCCTTGTTATTGTTCTCTTTTGCTCCCAAAGGAACACTTGAAGATGGAGGATTTCTTTAGAACCATGTTAACTCAGGGCATCGGTCTCAGTCCTGTTTGGAAAATGGAACTCTCTTCCCACATCCTCCTCCTCCAGGAATCTAAGAACCTGTGTCTACTAAGAGATAATGGAAAACTGGAAGAGATTTTTCTTAAAAGGCCAAGTGTTCTCTTTGAATGCATTTTAAATTTACTGTCTTAGGAAAAGTTTTAGGCAGGACCGTGAGGCGTTTGTTGGCTTGTGATTACAGCTAGGGCAGCGGTCCCCAACCTTTCTGGCACCAGGGACCAGTGATCCTATGAGCATCTAATGCCTGATGATCTGAGGTGGAGCTGAGGCAGTGATGCCAGCTCTGGGGAGTGGCTGCAAATACAGTGAAGCTTGCTCCCTGGCCTCGCCACTCACCTCCTGCTGTGTGGCCCTGGGGTGTGTGTGTGTGGTGGGGAGGGAGCGGGTGGTTGGGGACCCCTCTGCTAGAGAGTCCAGCTGGTTGGATGAGCATCCGTAGGAACCTTTGAAAGGGTTGTGCACTGGTATATCTGCCAGGGCTTTTTGGGAACGAACAACCAAAATCTACTGTGGTTGAGGATATTGTGATCTCATGGAATTGATGGCAGGCCAGGCCTGGAAACAGGAAGCAGTCAAGGTAGTTTTGGAAGGCTCATACATTGGAAAGTAGAAGCCAAGAAATGGTGTCCTAGCAGTCACGGTGATCCAGCTAAGGTTCTGCTGGTGGAATGAGGCAAGATAGTTTGCCTAGGGGTGTTCCCCCTCCCCTCCAGGATGTGACTCTGGAATTTCTCCCTTGTGCCTTTACTCAGCCCTCTCCCTGTTTTGATTCCCAGTCGTGAGACTGGGGTGAGAAACCAGCCAAAGCCGGAGACAGAATAGATGGCCATGGGCCGCCCCCTCCCCTCCAGGTGGCATGAGAGACAAGCCAAGACCGGGAGGCAGGGCAGATAGCCTTGGGACACCGCCCCCCCTCCCCCCATGGGATAAGGCTCCAGTGTTTTTACCTCATCCTTTGTTCAGCTTAGGCTAATCATAATATCATTATAATATCACCTGCATTGCAAGTACTCAATCTGCAGGCCCTGCCCCCCAAGAAAAACAAAAGCCTGTGATCCAGACGGCTTGGCCTGACTTGCTCTTTGCGTTTGGCCTCACTTCTCTCTTAAGTGTGTACTTTTGCTTTAACAAACCTCGCTCTTTCCTTCTTGCTGTTTGTCTAGTTTTTGATTTCTTCCTTGCAGCATAAGGCAAGAACTTGGTCACCAGAGCTCTGGGTCGGGGTCCCGCTTTGGACTCCTGCCCCGTCAAGCTCTCCGGCATCAGAACGAACATCAGCTGTTTTCCGATTCTCTCTCATTCTGCTCAAGATCGACATTCCAAGAAGGAAGCACCTGATTGCTCAGTCTCGGGTCGCTTGGCCACCTCCTGGCCAGCAGCAGAAGGATTTGGCTGAAGGAGTTTCTGGGGACCGTGATGGCTTGTGTAGTGCGAAGGTGTCTGCTTGGGTTCACCATCCCACCAAGACACTATTTAGGGAACAGGAGATCTACCTTCAGCATGATGTGTGGGTGCTGTGAGGAAGGCAGAATGAAGACGGGGTGGTGAAAATGCCCAGCAGTTGTCCCCTGTTGCTGCCGTATGACGGTGATCTCTCTTGTACAGTGTGGTGTTCGCATCTATGTCATCAATCTCATTTCATCTTTGCAACGACCCTGACAACTAGCGGGGGTGAGGGGATAGTTTTTCTACTTTTATAGGCAGAAAAGCGTGGAGGCCGGTCATCTGTGCAGCGTTGATTTGTCATCGCTAACTGTCGGTCCTGGGGGCGCAGGCGTGGGTTAGGTGGGTCGCATGGTTGGTCGGCAGTGGGATGGGACTGGAGTGCAGAGACCGTGTTCCTGGGGTGGCCCTCACCCTCTGCCACCGCATCCCCTTTTGTCTTTCCAGCATCGACTTTCCCAGATTGAGAGATTAATGTCACTGCAAACACTTAACATTGTCTTAAGTGTTAAACGTCATGGCGTTAAATTCCTTTGCTCGGTTATTCTCCTTTCGGTTCTTCTTAAGTCTCAGTGTAGTTGGGGGCAAGACTCGATCTGCTGTGAATATTAAGTTGATTGAAATGAAATCGCCAATATTCGATCATCTTTGACCTACAAAAATGACAGTATCATACAGTTCTAAATAACGTCTCTGAACTTCTCCTCTTTAAACAGAGAGCACAGGCACCAGGCCCAGCCTTCCCCTGGCCATGGCCGAGACAGACTTTAACTTGATTTCAGTTACATTTACTTTTAGGGCTACTCTGTTTAGGGCCCACGATACTGGCTTTCCATGGCTTAGCGATAGAGTTTTTCCTTTTAAAACAGGCTTATTTAAGTGAAAAAAGTGAGTCAAACTCA